GTCCTTTGGAGACCTAGGAAACCCTCCCCATAAGACCTCATCCCCTCCTTGTCAGAGAACAGGAGTTCTTAGCATGAAGGTTCCACATTCCTAAGGGGCCCATGAGAAGAATTCAGGAGGGCTTATGAATTTGAATGGGAAAGAAATTATATCTTATTTTCAGTATTCTCTTACTGAAAGTTAGCATTTCCTTCAATTATATATTAAAACCAACCACAATATTATTAGCACCACCTACGATTTTGTCACCAACAGAAATTACAGACATTCCCATGCCACATTACATTAGTGAAGACATCTCCAAATATTACACACGATCATGATTACTTCAAAATTACAGTAGCTATCAGACCTGCCACAGATCACACATGACTGCAATCTTCCTGTCTACTGGCCTCCATGTGAGGTAGTTGGCCAACTATGAAGCAACTCTGCCCAGTTATTGTTCAGCCGCCAAAGAGACCCCGTGTGCTCACACTGGTGATCCAGACTTTACAATACCTCCTTTCCTCCAACAATCCCCAAGTCAGACTACTCCCCACCAGGTTCTCTTTCGCCTCCGCCCAACCCCTCCTTCCAGGAAGCCCTCCCCAGCCACCTTAGCCTAGCTCAGCCCACGCAGAGCTCTTTTAATCCTTTGCCTACACTGTCTTCCCTGCTTGCTTCATTAAACCTGTGTATTATGTTGTATTTAATATTCTCTAAATATATATCCCCATCCCCACTCCCAAACTAGACTTCTTTGTAGCCCTAGGTTCCTTCTAATTGGACTTGTGGTTTGAATAACTGATTAAGCCTGGGTCCCTGACTCAAATGTCTTTGTCTAGTTCTACTAATAACCCACTATGGAATTTCTGTGTGATGTCTCTCTGGACATCAGTTTCCTCACATGTAAAAAATAAGTTGAACTAACTGATGTTTCCACCTCTAAATTTTTGAGTTAGGCAACCACTTTTTATCTCCCTAAGATCTGAGAAAAATTATGGAGGAAACTGAGAAGCCTCCCCCAGCTCTCCCAGGCAGAGTTAGTCACTTGCTCCTCTGGGCTTCCCACAGCCCTTTGTATGTATATATCATACCTCTACTATAGCCTTTATCACAAAGTTTTGAAAGAGTATATAACCTACTGGCTGGTGGTGGCTGAGGTCGAGATGGGGAGAAGAGTCAGACTGCCAGTGTTCAAATTCTGGCTCTATTCCCTACTATCGCACAACCTTGGACAAGTTACTTGACCTCTTTATGATTTCATTTCCTTACTTATAAAACAGAGATAACACCAAGCACACAGAATGGCTTTAAGAATTAAAAGAAATAAAATATTTGGAATAGTGCCTGCCACACAGTAAGTACTAAAAAAATGTCAGTTGCTATTATTGTTGATGTTAGTGATGTTATTAATGTCTTACCAGGCACTAGGTTCCTACTTTAGCTAGCTCTCTTTCTCCTCTCATTCTCTGCCACAGCACTCCATGTTTTCTTCCACAGTACTTACCACAAGATACTACATTTATTTATTTATCATCTATCTCCCCACTAGACTGTAAACTCCATAAGGCCAGAGAACATGTCCGTTTTGTTCATCCCAACACCGGAACTTCCCTGGTGGTCCACTGGCTAAGACTCCCAATGCAGGGGACTCGGGTTCCACCCCTGGTCAGGGAACTAGATCCTACATGCCATAACTAAGAGTTTGCATACTGCAACTGAGAGCTTGAATACAGCAACTAAAGATGGCACATGCCCCAACAAAGATCAAAGATCCTGCCGCATGCCGCAACTAAGATCCAGCGCAGTCAGATAAATAAATAAGCAAACAAACAAATATTTAAATAAATAAACTCCCAACACCAAACACAGGGTCTGACCCAGAGCAGACACTCAAATGTTTGCCGAATAAAGAGCACATGAACTGGCACTGTCCAATGTTTGCTAAATAAATTAACCTAGTTAAGGATGACTGTCAAAGCTGAGGTGTGGGTGCAGATGATGTCCTAGCTGCCCTAGGATTAGAGTGACCCTCTGCCCATCCCCCAATATTAGTCTCAGCCAAGCCCCACCCACCTGCTCTTGGCCCCAGTCCAGTTCCGGGAGCTACCCTCAGCTAAAATTAGCATAGCCACCAAGATGGCCATGCCATTTATAGCCTTGGAGGCAGCAGCAGCTAGCTGGATGGGCAGGCAGGACTCTGGCCTCCCACTCCATTAGCAGTTGATTGAGAAGCCAACCTGCACTCCATAGACCGCCTAGATGCTTTTCCTCCAAGGCCCTGTTCTAGCCCTGCTGAGTCAAACCACAGTTCCTGAGTAGAGGCCCTCAACCAACACTGGCAGTCACAACTCCAGACTCACACACATTCTGCAGGAAACATTTTGAGTTTCTAGAGACAAAGAGTCCAGAGACTAAGGGAGGTTCCAACCATCAATTACAGGCCAGTTTCATAAGTGCCAGCCCCAGAGCAGCCCCACCATCAAGCACAGATCTTTACTGAAAAAGTAATTTAGCACAGCTGGATATACAGGCACCAAAGAGCCAGACGTGACAGGAATGGCCTCTCTACAGCTCAGTAAGCTCTCCTAGCAGAGCACCTGCCTTCCCTAGAGAGCCAGACCTTTACGATAGGCATATACATCCAACAAGACAAAAAATGCAATTTTCTGGCCCCTGCAGAAGACCCTCCAGAGGAGAAAAATACAGCCCTTTTATTGGATCTTTCACCAGGGCCCACTAACTCACCAGGAGGAAACTAATATTCTCTTGCCCTTGCTTAGTGCTCCTTTAACAGGGCAGGGCCTGCGAAGTTGGAAGAAGGCTAGGTCTTATGAATTAGAAAACTGAGCATAGGACCCAGTTTCTTCAACGGTAAAAATGGGGATAATACCACCTGTCCCACATTCTAATTGAGCATTTGCAAGACTTTTGTGAAGAAAAATAGCTGTATGGTTGTAACATACAAACTTTAGAAAACATACAAATTGACTAGATATGTTGAATCTGACTTAGAAAAGTGGCTGTTTCAAGGCTAAGTAAAACTCCTGTGTTCTGAGGATACAGAGGGAATTGAAAGGCTGTGTAAAAAGCTCCTCACCAAATCCAGTCCATGAGCCCAGACTACCTCTTTGCAAAAACGAGTTCCTATCTGAGTCGGAGACAAAGTCCCAGACAGGCACAAAGGGACAACCTACCAGAACAACAGTGCTGGGGCCTCCAGTTTACCACAAACCATAGCCATTCCCAGCACCTGGGTCTCTAAGATCTCCTGCCTGGGATTCAATATTATTGTGACAACAGAAAGTAATCTCTGAACTGAGAGGAAGAAAAAACCCAAAAGAGAAGCTTTAGTATAATCAACACAACCAGGCCTCTAAAATATATTGTGTGGAGGGCTGTCTCTGTAAGCTTCATTTGGGAGGTAGTTATGAGAGATAAGGAATACCTCTTACCTATGGCATACACAAACACACAAATCTTCCTGACAGCTAGCTAGTGCCTAAATTCAAAACTTCATCCCTTTTAGCACATGTCTAAAATATAGCACTCTTCCTCGCAGACCAAAAAAAATAAATATATATATATTATATATATGTGTGTGTGTGTGTGTGTGTGTGTGTGTATTCATTTTACATTAGGCACTCATATTTTAGGGTGAAAAAGGAACATATTATTAGTTACAAACAGGGATGTCTCTGGGACAGCAGAAATGCTCCTCAGGGTCTTCTTCACAGTTTGACCTATATCTGCCTACTAGTCTTCCCCTTCACAGCCCAATGAGAACCAAGCTTTCAGCTAGTTTCAGGGGCCAAGGAGACAATGTGTAAAGAAACAGGATTAATATGCAAGGAGGTCCTATCTTCAAAGCTACATCCTAGGTGCCATGCTTATACATAAGGCAACTTCTGGCCTCACTTGTAAGTCAACCCTTGGGGTACCTATAATCACAACCAGCCCAGGCAAGGAACTTAAAGGGGGATTACCTAAGAAAGGGTCTACCACCAAAGCCAGCCCCGGAATCCATCCATGAAACTTCCTGGCCACCATGACCTACACTTCCTTTTCCTCCTTGTATCAATGGGTGTTCACTGAGGCGACCCCTCACTTGAGCCTGCCCACCCATATAAAGAACCCAGCTATAAACTCTCCTTACTCTGCAGCCCAATGCTTTGGGCACATCCCAGTGACAGGGTGAGAGACATGAGGGTAAAAAACTGGATTCCTTCTAAGCCTTGTGTAAAACAACTGAATTTTAAAAGTGCTTTTTTTTTTTCTGCAACAGAGCACCAGGGCGCCTACTTTTTTGACAAGGCTCCATGAGTACACAGGAAAAAGGACAGATCAAAAATATGGTAGAACTCCTACCATCATCAGTCAGAAAAAACAGAGTAAGTCAACAAGTGGTCCCAGGAATTATATCATGCCTATGTCAAGAAAAGTCCATTTAACTCCCTAGTGGTAAACAGCATTCCACCTAAGGAACTGCTTTGATATTTCAAATGGGTACAGCTAGGAGACAGCAGATTACCTAAGGGCAGGGAGGAAATAGGGTTCCCACACTCCCTGGAATAGAAAGGCACACCTCAACACTAACTTACAGAGTAATAGCGCTGGCTCAGTCCTGACTTTCCCTGCCCAGTCCAAGTAGCCTCAACCTCCCCTGTGCTGCCAAGTGCTGAAACTGGCCAAGAGGAATAGACTTATCATCTGCCCAGGCCATTATTCCAGACAAGCAGTCCTGAGACAGGGTCTTGACTTGCTGATCTGAAAGGAAAAGGTGCACCAGAAGCAAACCGCCTTCCACTGCCAACAAAAGACATCCAGAGGAGGGATGAGGAAAGTTGTTCAAGAGACAAAGACATCAACAGTAGCTCCTGAACAGAAAGAACTTCCTCGACTCCTAAGAACTGGCAGTGCCATAAGTGGGTCCTTCATCAATTGCAAGTGTAGAAACCAACTGTTCAAACTTCCCTACTTGGGCAACTCAGTTCTTGCCCGTGGCAAGGCCTTACCTGCTACAGTGGACTCCTCGGAATTGGCCCCCGAGCCGGTCGCCTTCTCGCTGTGGCTTTGGCTGAGGCTCTGGCCGTGATGCAGGAGGAGCCCCCAAAGGAGCCACAGGGCAAGACGAGCGCACACATCCATGACTCCAGGTCTCAGTCAACATGCGCCTGATGGAAACACCTCAGGATCTCAGAGGCAAAGTCGGGAACCCCGTCCTGGAACCCAAGGCAAGATGCCCTCGAGGTGCCGCAGCTGTCCAGCCACCCGCGAGTCTGCCTCCTCCGACAGCCAAAGGTCAAGTGCTCCAAGTTTGGGAGCCGGAGGAAGGCCGGCGTCTCCGGCCCAACTGTGGGTCCGCTGGAGCTGCGACGGGCTGAGTGCCCTGTCAGCTCCGGCCGCTTCCGGAGAGTTTGGACAAGGTGGCCGCGGAGCCGCTGTCCGCTCCGCAGCCGGCTACACCCCTTGGGGAGGGGGTGGGCGGGCGGGAACTCCCGCGGCACCGGGGTGGGGGAGGGAGAGAAAGGAGGAGAAGGGGGCACCTGGCTTCGCCCCGCCGGGGATCCGCGAGCAGCGCAGGTTCGGGGAGGGCGTGCGACTCCCAGGCCCCCTCGGGCGCGGGCGGCTCAGGGATCCCAGGCCTCCTAGGCCGAGGTCAGCGATGCCGCCCAGTCTCGTGCCCCGGCCGGCGATGCCCAGGTTCAGCAGGCGGACGCGCACGGGCCAGGCCCGGGATAGAGGCTCGCGGGCGAGCGGGCGGGAGGCGCGGGGCGGGCCCGGGGCGGGCGGGGGCGTGCTCTCCCGCAGGCCCGCCCCGCGCCGCCCGGCCCCCAGCGAAGCCCGGGCCCGCCCCAGCGCCTGGCTTATCCCGGAATAACCTGTTGTAGGCAGCCGCCCGGCGCCCGCAGACCCCGGAGGGCTCTCCCGCCCCGCGCTAGTCTCCGCTAGGATCCCTCTCCCTAGCCAAGGGTCGGGTCCCAAGCCTCTCTTTCGCCCACTAGAGTCCCTCCCGTGCTAACCGCCCGCAAACTGACGGGCCCTAACACGCAAGTCGCTCAGGTAACCCAGGCCTGTGGCGGCGGCGGCGATGATGACAGTAGCCCGGATCTCCGGGCCTCAGTGCTGATCCACTCGCCTCAGCTCTAGAGCCGGGCAGGGCAGAGGGCCTGGACACTACGACTGCCCGAGGTATTGCCCGAGGCGACAACGACCCGGCCCGGTTCAGCCGGGGGCGCGTTCCCAGCCCCCTACTCCCGGCCGGTATCCCAGGCTCCGCCCCTCTCGCCGCGCCCTGCAGCCAATCAGCTTCCGCCTCTCTGCAGCTTAGGAACCCGCGCGCTTAGTCACCCCTGTGCAGCGGCCCCTGGCGGGCAAAGCTGGGTGCTGCGGCCCGGATCCGAGCTCGTTGGGAGGCCCTGCCCCTTTGCAGAGGGTTGGGGAATTAGAGTGAGGACCCGCCCCGGGGGGAGGCCCATTGGGGCCTGCTAGTGTTTTCAGAAGGAATGATGCCAGAAAACAAAACGAAGCATCCAAACCACTATAGGTAAAATTGCCCCACACATTCCTAAATGGCCAAAGGTCCCCATATCTGCCTTCCTGACCTCCCCCCCCCCCCCGCCCCCGCCATCCATGCTAAGTAGGATGCCCTCCCTTAACTCTCTCAGCCCGTTTTCCTACCCGTCCCCCAACCCACTCCCCTCTGAGGTTTCTGCGGGTAGGGCCTGTGTAGGTTCCTCCCTGCATCTCACTCTCCCAGCTCTGCGTGTGGCTTGAGGATGTTAGCGACTTGAGAACGAGTGCCCCTATGAAGAGGGAGAAGCGCTGGGCCTCCCTCCACAGAGCCTGCACTTCCTGTTCTCTTCTCAAGTGTGCTGTCAGCAGATCTTTACTGAAACCTGCTCTGTGCCCTGCCCTGTCCTTGGCACCGGCGGCAGGAGAAGGGATTAGGCCCCGGCCCTCCCCTGACAGTGCTAAGCCAGCTACCTGTTCTGAGCAAGCCATCTGAAAATCGGGAACACGGATTTGCCCAACAGCTGCCGGGCTTAAGAGTTAGGCTGTTAATATAAAAATACACCTCCGACGTCATCTACTACCACCCTCCCCACTCTCTTATTAAACTTCAGTCACACTGGTCTTAAGTTCCTCAAGCACATGGAATCTCAGCCACCTCCCAGCCCTCGTAGCTACTGTGGCTTCTACCTAAACACTCTCTTCCCCTCCAGGGCCCCCCATCAACTCCCTCACATGGCTGACTTCTCATTCTTCCAGATACAATTCAAGGGACTTCCCTGGTGGTCCAGTGACTGAGACTCTGCACTCCCAAGGCAGGGGGCCTGGGTTTGATCCCTGGTGCCGGAACTAGATTTCACATTCTGCGACTTAAAGATCCTGCGTGCTGCAACAAAGATGGAAGATCTCAAGTGCTGCATCCAAGATCCAGCTCAGGCAAATAAATGAATACATATTTATTTTTTGAAAGATACAGTTTAAGATCTTCTCAGAAACTCCTACTCAGCCACCTCAAGTCCAAAATTGGATCATACACATATCTGTCTTCCACCACCCCACTGGATTATGACTTTTCAGAGGTTAGGGCCTGTGCTTTATTCATCTCTGGGAAATGGCCATCCAGTCACAGGCCCTGTACATGGTAAGTGCTCACAAAAGCTGACTGACGTAAGTTAATTCCTTTGGTTGTATAAATATTTATTGAGTAACAACTGTATGTTGGAAAACTGGCCCTAACAGAAGATAAGCCCCTGATAGACTCAGAGCCTTAAACTCAAACAGCAAAGTGGGAAAATAGCTAATATTATTGAGAGAAGTAGATGAGAGTAATAGGGAGTAGTAGGCACTGGGGCACCCTGGCAGCAGGCAGGAAGGTGGACTCAGTATTGCTGGATCATCTTTAAGAGAAGATGGAAGTCTGGACTTTTAAATGATATAGCCACTTTATCAACAAGGACCTACTGTTGCCCTATGTGTTGATAGCACAGGGAACTCTACTCAACATTCTATAACAACCAGCTCAATGGTAAAGAATCTGCCCGTCAATGCAGGAGGTTCAAGTTTCATCCCTGGGTGGGGAAGATTCTCTGGAGTAGGAAATGGCAACTCACTCCAGTATTCTTGCCTGGAGAAACCCATGGACAGAGGAACCTGGCAGGCTACAGTCCATTGGATCACAAAGAGTCGGACACGACTGAGTCACAAATACACATGCTCTAGAGCCCAATATTGCAATCACTGAGCCCGCCCTAGAGCCCAGGCTCAGCAACAAGAGAAGCCACTGCAATGAGAAGCCTGCGTACTGCAACTAGAAAGTAGCCCCCACTCACCACAACTAGAGAAAAGCCTGCGCAGTAACGAAGACCCAGCACAGTCAAAAATAAATTTCAAAAATTATTTTTTAAAATTTATAAAAAAAATATTCTGTAATAACCTTTATGGGAAGGGAATCTGAAAAAGAATGAATATGTGCATATATACAACTGAACCACTTTGCTGTACACCTGAAATGAACACAACATTGTAAGTCAGTTATACACCAACATAAAATAAAAATTAAATTTAAAAAAATTTAAAAGACAAAAAAAATGATACAGCCCTTTAAAGGTATGAAACCCTTTACAGGCCACATAAAGCACATCTGTAGCCTACATTGATCTCAGACTATATGTTTATAATTTCTCCCTGAGCCAGTACACCTGCCTGTGCACTCATTTGTCTAAGAAAACACAAAAGAAAAAAGGAAAGTAAATCAAGCTTAGTACAGCTCTTTTAAATTCAAGTGCATCATTTCTCTTAGCTACCATGTGATTTCTTTGGGGGTATGGGTGCAACACCCATTTGGTAGAAAGAGCTGGGGTCTTGGAGGCAGGAAGCAAGAGTCTATTACCAATTCACACCAAGACCTTGAGACTCTTAGAGCCTGTTGCATTTCCTGTGAGGCTAAAATTGTGTCTGGGAACTAAAAATAGAATTAACTGTATGCTGCAGCAATTCCACTTCTGGGCATATGCCAAAAGAAATTGAAAGCAGGGTCTCAAAGAGATATTTGAAAACAATTCCCGTTTTCATAGCAGCATTATTCACAAGAGCTGAAAGGTGGGAGCAACACAAGTAAATGTCCATAAATGGATGACTATATATATATATGTATATATATATATATGCAATGGACTATTATTCAGCTTTAAAAAGGAAGAAAATTCTATATGCTACAACATGAGTGAACCTTAAGGACCTTGAGGACATTATGCCAAGTGAAGTAAGGTAGTCACAGAAGGACAAATACTATATGATTCCACTTATATAAGGTTCCTCGTGCCTCATGCTAAGTCGCTTGAGGCGTGTCCGACTCCTTGAGACTTTATGGGCTGTAGCCCACCAGGTTCCTCTGTTCATGGGATTCTCCAGACAAGAATACTGGAGTGGGTTGCCATGCCTCCTCAACGGGATCTTTTTTCCTGACCCAGGGCTTGAACCTGCATCTCTTACATCTCCTGCATTGGCAGGCAGGTTCTTTACCACCAGCGATGTAAGTTTCCTAGAGTAGTGAAATTCATAGACACAGAAAGTAGGATATTGGTCACTAGGGCTGAGGGGAAGGGATGATAGGGAATTGTTGTTTAAGATATAGTTTCCATTTAGCAGGATGAAAAGAGCTCTGGAAATTGGTTGCCAAACAATATGAATGTATTTAACACACTTAAAATGTAAATTTCATGTTATGTGTGTTTTACCACAATTAAAAATAAATGGTGTCTGAAAGCAAAAACCATGGCCTGGATAACAGGAGAAGCATTCTTGTCTCATCTCTGACTCCCAGATCATGATGTGACATCAGAAAAGCTAGTTTCCCTCTGGATCTCAGTCTCCCCAACTATAGGATGAGTAGGTACCAGGTTATTGATCCAGTTCAGCTTTAATATTCTATAAGGTCAGAAAGGACTTCCCTGGTAGCTCAACTGGTAAAGAATCTGCCAGCAATGCAGGAGACCTGGGTTCAGTCCCTGGGTTGGGAAGATCTCCTAGAGGAGGGAATGGCAATCCACTCCAGTAGTCTTGCTTGGAGAATCCCCATGGACAGAGGAGCCTGGTGGGCTACAGTCCATGGGATCGTGAAGAGTTGGACACGACTG